GGGAGCAGAACAGGCCGACTGATGAAGTACACTGCTGAGGGGAGCAGTGGGAGGGTCAGGAGAGGTCTGCTGCGCCATGTGGGTCAGCTCCCTGATGGGGCTCGAACTCATGCTGCAGTGGCTTCGGAGAGCTTCATAATGTGGTGTTTTAACCTGTCATGCCACCAAAGAGAGCCCTCAAGGAACATTTTTAAAAACATTTGTCAATCGGCCCTCCCTGGTGGCACAGAGGGTTAAAGCACAGCATAAAGAAGCTTAAGCCACTTCCGCATGAGTTCCATCCCCGCCTGCCCTGAAGGAGATTCACATGGTGTGGCAGACCTCTTCTGACCCACCCGCTGCTCCCCTCAGCAGTGTACTTCGTTGATCTGCCTGTTCTGTACCCCACTCTGTCTCTGGTGAATCCTCTCACTGCCCCTGCATCTCTGGCCTGTACCCCAGTTCTGTATGAATAAATAAGTAAATATTAAAAAAAAATTGTCAGTCATTTTATCGCCACTTGATTGTTAAAGTTCCATGAATGAGTGCAATAGAGATGAACTCTAACCATGATGATATTTTCCCTCTTCATAAGAATATTCTTGTGTTATTTTAGAATTTCTGAATTCTCATCTTGGATATCAGCAAAGGAGACTCAACTGAAAAGAATTAAGAGTGATGCCATCGACACTGACAGCGACGGAGAGGTTAAGCGTGCCGTTGAAGTAAGTTCTGGGCCATTTTTTGTTAGTGAAACATAGATGACATAACTGATGACTTTTCTTGCTGTAGATAAACTGAATTTCTGAAAATTGTCTTCAAAATGACTTTTCTCGGTTACTGTGGAAAACTATTGTTTCTTTCTATTGAATCATCGCTAGTTTTGTGATTTAATCATGCTCAGGGAAGCCACAAATTGCACTTTTAGCTAGTGGGGGATCCTGAGAAAAGATAACATGCATCATTGAAAACAAAGGAGAGGTCTAATAATTGTCATGGAAAACTAAACAATCTACAATATGTTTTCAGCCACTTGACAGCCATGTCACAGAAATGAGAGAAGCGGATAAGGTCTCTAAGAAGACTTTCTGTGTCACATGCTGCCGCTAGCAGGGATAAGTCTCTGGAGGTGGGGACATCTGATAAGCCAGCCAAGGCAGCAGAGCCCAGGCTGAACCAGGCTAGTGTCCTGGGAGGGGCCGCTCCTCTCAGCAGGCCCTGAGTCCTTTAGACTCACATTATGGAAACATCTTTTAGCCTTTGAAGACACATAGTTGCTATTGGCGAGAGCCCATTTCTCTCAGTGTCTGTCATCTGAATTCCCTTTTGTTTGCTCTAAAATTTATAATCCTCTTAAATGTAACAAGTGCTTGTAGATTTATATTTGCTACTCTGGGTCCTCTTAGAAAAAAACACATTTGTATCTTAGAATGAAGAGATCACTTTCTTCTGGAAGCAACTGTTTGCTGATTGGCATGCATTTGCCCTGCAAAACCCTCTGTAGCAGTTGATAGCCGCCATGTGGTTGAAAACTCTACCTGTGTGCTACCCAGAGTGAGGGGAGGGTGAGGAGTGTCCCCATCACCATTGCCTTGGTCCCCAACCCTACAAAGGCTGAGCCCTTTGGTCTTTCTGGAATTGTCTTGGGCTTGCCATGCTGGCCAGAAAGATCATATTCCTTCCAGCGCACAGAAAATGAGGTAACAAAATAGGTTATATGTTCTAATACCTAATTTTGGTATTCTATGGTTTTCTATAGTGTTTAGAAGCATCTTTTTGGTGCTCACAGAAATCTCTAGAAATACCAAGCCATCTAATTAGGAAGATAACTTTATTGATAGAGCATAGATTTTATACCTCAAGTACTGGTGTCGGGGAAGCATTTTTGTACTTCTGTTAAAAGATATGAACAGAGGGCCCTCCCTGGTGGCACAGCGGGTTAAAGCACAGCACTAAGAAGCTAAAGCCACTCTGCATGAATTTGATCCCGGCCCTGGAGGTGATCCACATGGTGCAGCAGACCTCTCCTGACCTGCTCACTGCTCCCCTCAGCAGTGTACTTCATTGATCTGCCTATTCTGCTCCCCACTCTGTCTCTGGTGAATCTTCTCACCACCCCTGCACCTCTGGCCTATACCCCAATTCTGTATAAATAAATAAATAAACCTTAAAAAAAAGATATGGACAGAAAGGTAAAAAGCAGGCATTCTACTGGTGAGTGAGTGACTCTTACATCTCCCTTACCAACCTTCTTAGGGTGAGTCCTTTCTGGCTAAGAAGTTACAGTCACCGTTGCCTCTGTACATCAAGTCTTCTTTCATTTCAGGAAATCAGAAGTGGTATTAGCAAAAATGGCGAAACTCTCAGTTGGTTGAAATCCAGGCTTAAAATCTTGACAGAAGTTTCTTCTGAGAAGGAAGCCCAAAAGCAAGGTGATGAGCTGGCCAAATTATCCAGTTCTTTCAAGGCTCTCATGGCATTGTTGTCTGAGGTAAACCATTTCCTCACACTCTAGACAAACAGGCATTATGGGGTAAGGAATCTGGGAAGCATCTGGAAGATTCTTTTATTTTTGGCTGTAGTTTAGCAAATCATTTTATAAAAAAATAATTGTAGTTGAAACAATACTGTTAACCTATTTGTATGAACAATGGGGGAGATGAGGAGGATAATTGAATTATTATTTAATAATCTATATCTAAAGGACAACATTTCTCAGAACTTTACTTTTTACTGTTACTGAAACCATTATTTCATGGACAGTTTAAGGCATATAATAAAAATTAAAAGCACAGGCTTGAGCATCAGATAAACCCAGCATTAGAGCTTGATGCTGGCCCTGCCTTCAAATGCTATCTTGAGTTTGTCACTATATAGTGTTGAGCTTATAATTAATAGCCCTGAATGTTGATTTTCATGTGGTATAACAAGGCTAAAAATACCTCACTGTCAAGTATTAAATGCACAAATGTGTGGAAACCACTTAGTACAGTGCTCGACAGAGTAAATGCTCATTAATTGATGTTAATTATAAATTCAGTATTTAGTCAGCAGAAAAGTAAAGGCCCTTTTAGGTAAGATCTACTCATTTCAAAGTTTTTGATGTACATTTCAATATTTATAATCCTGTATCTTTAAAATATACAAACCCAGCCCACCCTGGTGGCACAAAGGGTTGGGACGCAACACTGCAAGCTGGCCACAGCCACTTGAGTGTGAGTTCAATCCCTGGCCCCAGAGGTGATCCACAGGGCATGACAGACCTCTCCTGATCTGCCCGCTGCTCCCCTCAGCAGTGTACTTCATCAGTCAGCCTGTTCTGCTCCCCACTCTGTCTCTGGTGAATCCTCTCACCACCCAACACCTCTGGCCTGTACCCCAGTACTGTATGCATAAATAAGTAAATCTTAAAAAAAAAAAAAACCACTTGAGCAGTCATTAAAATCGAAGTAATTAGTCTCCCTAACATTTCCAAGGTCACTTACTCACTTTGTCTTTCAAGTACTCATAACACAGTCAGTGGGACTCATGCCAGCAATCTAACAAATGCAGACATTGTTCTTCACACACTGCCTCACTACAGCTGCTGTGTGATATCTCCTAATGCCCTTGGTTGGTACTCAGTCACTTAATGGAGGCAAAAAGAGGAATGGCAAAAACCATACTCCGCTTGTATAAAGATTTGTATAAAAAGGTGTATTTGACACATTCAGTCCATCCTTTGGTCAGAATTCATTGAGTATTTAAAACGTGTTTAAGGCTTCAGCCTTCCAGTAGAAGGGGGAAAAGCCCTGGGTGAATTTTTAATGTGCAATGAAAAGCCACTTTTTTCAAGGATTTGTGGTTTTCACTGGGTCTTGCTGCTGTTGGCAGAACAGCGGTTCCAGTAACCTTGGAGGAACTTAGTGCACAAGAGGGTCAAAGAAAAAGATAAGATAAGAGGAGACATGGGAAGTCTTCTGTGAAAGACAAGTGCTGATAAATTGGGGAGATGATGATAATAGTGCAGGGAAAGGACAGTGTTTGAAAAGAAAATACTGGTGAAACCAAGTGGTGGAAACCAAATTAGAAGAGAAAGCTGAACATTTAGGAAAATGACACAAAAATTCACTAAAGAACCACAAAATTAGAAATTATTTCATGCCTCATGTAGAAATACTGGAGGACATTTTCAACAAATGTTCTTTTATTCTTTCTTCACAAAGTTTTGCTTATTTACTTTTAATAGGATGGACTTATCTTTCTTATAATACACCTTAATCATTTATAATTAGATTTTAGACTTGAAATTATAATGAAAGAGATTCAAGAAACAGTATATATAGTATGTACAGTTTCATTATCTTGCATAAATTACCAAGTCAAGTGGGTTTGCAATATGGTACCAAATGAAACTTGTGATTTCCATAAGTGAAAATAGGGTTTAGCAATTTTTAAATAAGCTTCAAATACATAAGATAGAATAAAAGCTAGAGATCTGTGCATGTATTTCAAGTTGTTAATATCTATCCTTAAAAAATTTCAAGATTATATGACCATGTGACTTGCATTTTTTTTTCCATGAAAATCAAGGTTGAAGAGATGCTAAGTAATTTTGGGGATTGTGTCCAGTACAAAGAAATAGTCAAAAGTTCCCTTGAGGATTTAATTTCCGGCTCAAAGGAGGTACAGGAGCAAGCTGAGAAAATATTGGACACTGAAAATCTGTTTGAAGCACAGCAGTTACTTCTTCACCACCAGGTAGAATATCTCTTTACCCAATGCATTTGTGCTGTGTGACTGGTCAGTGATGGAGCCAGAGAGAATAAAAGCACCACCACTGGGTGGGAAGGAAGCAAAGGGGCTGAAAGAAACCCAACTGAATGGTTCAAAGAACTTGACACTTCAGTTCTCTCTGTTAAATATTTCAGAAGATCCTGCAAGACAAATCCTCATATTGCATGATTTCTTCAAGAAATACTATGGAGGAAAAATTGATTTTGCTACAAAATATTTCATAAAATTTGAAATGATGCTTTTTATAACAGAGAAGGAAGTCATATATAGATAGTCACTTCATATTTGAGGCAACTGTTGTTTTGTGTTAAAATCTTTCTATTCAAAATGCAACTTGGAGTATACCTTTAACTAGGAAATTATAATTTAGAGGAAGATATTTCCGGAGACTAAGTTCTTAAAAAGAATTAGAACTGGAAGTAATGTTCTAATATATACATATATATGTACACTCATACATAATAAATTATTTTCGGGTTCAATACCTAAGGAAATATGATTTTAATCAAATATTTAATGATACAATTTTAGTTAATATATAGTAAAATGCTAACCAGTTTTATATGTAGTGGTATATAAAAGTGCAAGTTGCACTAAATGTTTGTAACTTAGCTGCCTCTTAATAAATTTACTTAATTATAAAAAAGCTGAACAAAAATAAATAAATACTTGGCATTACATAGTTCTGAATCACTGCCAAAGTGTCATTTGGTTTCAATTTAAGTCAGGTGAAATCGGAAAGTATAGATACTTACATTAATATTTTAAAACTGAACACTTCTTGAACAGGGGTTTGATTATAACTTACAAATTTTCACAAAGTCAAAGTCGTGCACTTATGTGAGATTGGTGCACTGCTGTGTTTTTATGTTATATTTACATAAAACGTTTACCTTAAAACACAATTTACCTCAAATACTTTATCAGATTCATCATTCTAAATGCATCTGAGATGGAAATCTCTTAACAGCATAAATGATAAAAAAAAAAAAACACTGGAGTTTGCATTTTATTTTTAGACAGAAAATAGTTATTTAAGGAGACTCATCAAATGAATAGATTTTCTGAACTCCTCTGAAATATTGTAGAAGATGCAAAATGCTGTGTAAATCTGCACACAAATTAAAACAGTAAAACCAAATCAATTATGTTGTTGTTTACCATTAAAAATATAAAATACTTATAAATAAGGTCCATCTTTGACCAATGTAGAACCTCTATTATCGTTTTCACTACACATCTTAAATTTAAAATATGCTTGGGCCGACCCAGCATGAGACTGTACCCTTCTGTACCTACTTCAAAATGTAGGTGTCTTCGTCTCTGCTTAGCCCCGAGTAACATTTATCTCCATCTGTTGAATAAATGCTTCCAGCAAAAGACGAAAAGGATCTCAGCAAAGAAGAGGGATGTGCAGCAGCAGATTGCACAGGCCCGGAAGGGAGAGGGGGGACTGCCTGGCCGGGCCCGCGAGGAGCTGCGTCAACTAGAGAGTACTCTGGATGGCATGGAACAGAGCAGGGAGAAGCAGGAGCGCCGCATCCAGGTAGGAGACCGGAAGCGCGTGGTGTTAACTTCCGGGTCATGGGTTATTCTTCTGCTCCTGGGAATTAATGTTTATTCTTGCCTCTGATGACCACCTTGAGGGTGTTAGATGTTTTCATTCTGGGTGAATGCTGTAATTACCACATTTTGCAAATGTGGATGTTTAGAAAGAGAATTAATAAACTTTATTCAAAGTCACAGAGCAGCAATAGTAATAAAACTAGGATTTTAATCCACATGTGTCTGCATCCAAAAATTTCTATTCTCCACTTTATTCTTTATTGTGATCGTCACACTTTTTTTTTTTAATTTTTGCCACCAGTTCACTGCTTTTCTCCTCTTTCTCCATTCTCTCTCCTTTTCTTTCTTATTTTCCTTGAGCGATATTGGAAGGCTTGCTATTCCTTTCCCTTTATCTACATCTTTAATGACAATATTGGATTCATAGGACTTTACAGTTGATAGAAACTCAAGAGTCATAATCCACACATATTTATGTCGATGAATTGAGATTCATACAGAGAATTTTTATAGCAGCATTAGAGTCGTGTTTGTTCAGTGTGACGGCTTGAAACTTGAATTGCGAGTTCATTGGAAATTGACAGCCTAACAAATGAATGGAAAGGCAATAATATTTTGTCATATACCTTGATAATAATTCATAACATGTTGGTGCTTTTTGTTTAAAAAAACATTTTTTTTTTAAATTTAGGTCACCTTAAGAAAGTGGGAGCGATTTGAAACAAACAAAGAGACAGTGGTCAGATACCTTTTTCAAACAGGTTCCAGCCATGAGCGCTTCTTGAGTTTTAGCAGTTTGGAAAGTTTATCTTCAGAACTGGAACAGACAAAGGTATGTCAATGAGGCCAGATAGTTGCTTGACCCTCTTTATTCTGAAGACATATTGTTTCCACTCAATTGTTAGTATTCATTATTAGAATTATCCACTTAATCAATACCTATTGATTATTTTTATTCATTTATCAGTACACTGGCTAAGTTGTTCTGGAGAATGAAACTGTAAGTAGGGTTTATGCATTAGGAACTAAACGTTTTTATTAAAGTGAGAAATGATTAGCTCACTAATCTATGAATACATTTCATAAAAATCTTTCTGAAGGCAGTGTTATTTTTAACTGAACCTTGAAGGTAGAGGAGGCAGAGGAACCCAGAACAGGAAGCAGAAAATAAACATTCATGGGGAATGCCATGAAGTACAGAGGAATTAGGATGGGGAGTCGATATTGTAAAGCAGAAAAAGAAAAATGCATCTGTAAGGAACATTTGGGCCACATCATAAAAACTCTTGAGAGTTAAAGCAGCAGTCTGTGCTTTAGGCAACAGGGATCCCTCCCCCCTTCATGAAAGTCATGGGTTCGGAGCTGTGCTTCCAGAAGATGACTTTTGAGGCAGGTATAGACTACTGAAAGGATGAAAGACCAGAATGAAAGTCCAATTAGAAAGTCAGTACACGTGTTCACCAAGGTGACATGTGTTAGGGAAATGGATGGTGAGGGATGCTGAGGACAGCTAAAAACAACAGAATGAAAGAAAAGAAGGTACTCAGGATTGGGAGCCTGCCACAGAAAAAGGGGGTGAAATGGGGAACCAGAAGAAGTGGCTGTTTGTGGAAACCCTGGCAACTGAGTTTTGGGTGTCTTGTATTTGGGGCTCCCATGGAATGTCCTGGAGATTGCATTTCACAGATGCGCTTGGTGAGCTCCCCTGTATAGTCTCAATCAGAGAATAAATTTGTGAGTGGCATCGAGAGGAATCATACAAATGTAACCTTTTAGGCCTCGGGTTCCTATAGCATGTGCTTTGGGCTTATAAGAAGATGGAGTTAGTACAGAAATGAGTTTGCTGATGTATAAGAAAGTTTTCACCCTTCACAGCCTTGGGCTGTAAATACCTGTGCTTCTGTTTTACCAGTGGAAGGTTTCTATCATTCATGCTGCTAATTTTGCATTACTTCTCCAACTATGAACTTAACTGAGTCAGAGTTTGAAGTCCCATAAAGCTACAGAATCTTCCAATTCTGGATGATTTTCATCAACCACTTAAATAGAAAATTAGTTTTTGAATAATAATGATGTATTGTTTAAAGATTTATTTATTTATGCATACAGAAACTGGGGTACAGGCCAGAGGCTCAGGGGCGGCGAGAGGCTTCACCAGAGACAGAGCGGGGAGCAGAACAGGCAGATGGACGAAGTCCACTGCTGAGGGGAGCAACGGGCGGGTCAGGAGAGGTCTGCCGTGCCATGTGGTCACCTCCAGGGCAGGCGGGAATTGAACTCATGCGGAAGTGGTTTTAGCTTCTTAGTGCTGTGCTTTAACCCGCTGCGCCACCAGGGAGGGCTCATATCTTTTGAATGAGGTACCATTAGGATTCTCCCAACCGGGTACTCATTTCTCAGTCACCACTGGCCCCGGGCTCCAGTGTGCTTCCCTCCCCCGCTGTTGCTGCTCCTTCCCTACTCTCTTCACGCTTTGGGTGCTTCAGTGCTATAGTCTGTTTCCAAGGGGTAGCTTTTGAGGTTGTCTTACTCTGGTCCTTAGCTCAGTCTCTCTATAGAACTTTGTTACTAATTATATATATACTTGAAAAATATATTAGATGCCTTTTAGAAACACATGCATATGCATTGGGTTAATTATCCACTGTGTGTCCACCCAGCTTCCTCCAGGGTTTCTGTCTGTGGGTACATTTTACTAATTTTTAAATTCTTTTATAAAAGATTTGATTTATGTAAACAAGAACTGGGATGGAGGCCAGAGATGAGATGAGAGGTGGGGATGAGAGGCTTCACCAGAGACAGAGTGGGGAGCAGAACAGGCAGATCTACTGAAATCCACTGCAGAGGGGAGCAGTGGCTGAGACAGGAGAGGTCTGCTGTCCCCTGTGGGTCAGTTCCCTGGCTGGGGATTGAACTTGTTCTGCAGTGGCTGCGGACAGCTTCATAATGCTGAGAATTTAACCCCTTGCTCCACCAGGGAGGGCCCTCTTTAAATTGTTTTATCTGCCTGTCTATGAAACAAATGTAACCTTTTTCATATTATTAAATTCTTTTTCGTTAATAGTTTTATGTCATTGGGATTGGTTTAATAATCTGGGCTAACATATACTAGACATACACTGCATACTGGCACAGTCACTTGGTGTTTATCATCTTCTTTAATCCCCAAACAAGAAGTAGGCATTATCAATCCTGTGGATACATGAGGAAATATAAGAGGAAGAGTTGTTAATGAACATATCCAAGATCGCAGGATTACTAAGTGGTAAGATTGGGATGCAAACCCAAAGTTTGAGTCCAGAACCCCACCCTTAGCTGCAACATTGTATTTTCATAAATAAATGAGTCTGTGATATTCATGTGTGTGTTGGCCACTGCGCCAGTGCCTGTAATCTAGAATAATTGTTCTCTCGTCCTTTGCCCATTTGACATTGTGAGCACAGCCTTCATTAAGCGTAGCACGTGGGTGGCTGTACCAAGGCCTGTGTGCCCTCTGTGCCAGTGTGGGAGGGCATTGCTATCACTGTCATGTTTAATCTTCAACAACAACTTCAATGTTTAATCAACAACATTCCTGATGAAGGAATGAAAATTCAGAGTGTGCAGCTCAGCTAGTGAGGGCCAGAGCCTCCTTGCAACACCAGATCTAACGGAGGCCAGATTGCTGCTGTACCTGCTGCCACTCAAAGTCTTCTTAGAGCTCAGAAATCCAGTCTTACCATGAGCCTTAGTCTAATTTTGTTGAATTTGTTTATTTCTGTTCTTTGGCTTTCTCTCCTTGCCCTCTCCCTGTTCATAATTCCCATGAAAATTTCTTTGATTGAATATATTTATGCATCTTCGAAATAATTGTACTTTTTCCAAGTATTTCCCTGGCCTATGGGAAGCACAAGGTGTTAAAAAAAAAAACTATTACTTTATTTAACACTTATGATTTTATTCATAGGATGTTGAGAGATCATGCTGTGATTCACAGTCTTCACAATTGAATCTACAGTGATTATACGTTTACTTATAGCAATAGTAGGTGCTTTTAACCACAGAGCTTAATGTTGTGACATTAGCAAATACCACATTTAGGATATTATAACTTTCTCGCCATATGGGTGGAAGCTGTACTTACTTATTTTTAGTCTCTCAAATTGTACCATATTTCTTTAAAATAATGTTGATATTTCTTTGAAGGTATTAGTCCTTCAAACAGGAAGAAACATTAATATGTATTAATTCTGTCCTCTGTGCATTATGTAATAATTCTGGGAAACGCTCTGCAGGAAATGGTAGCTATCGCAAAGCTGAATTTAAAAATAAATTTTTAATTTATTTATTTATGCATACAAGAACTGGGGTTCAGGCCAGAGGTGCGAGTGGTGAGAGGATTCACCAGAGACAGAATGGGGAACAGAACAGGCAGACTGAGTGAAATACACAGCTGAGGGGAGCAGCGGGTAGAAAGGAGAGGTCTGTTGCACCCTGTGGGTCAGTTTCTTGGCTGGGGATTCAACTCAGGCACTGAGACTCCACCCCTATGCCACCAGGGAGGGTCTATATGAAGTTTATGGACAATTTTCTTCTCTGTTTTATGTGAGGGTCATCAAAAAATAATAAAAAAAAATGATACTTGCCAAAAAAAAATGATACTTGCCAAAGTGACAGAACCTTAAAAATGAGATTGTTATTGAAATGCTAACACTGACATCTAAAAGAGAGCCTACAAGTAATTTACCCAGGTGGAGCAGCTAAGTAGTTAGCAAATCCAGGAGTCTAAGATAAGTCAAAACTTACCTTCTTTCCATCATATATATATATATATATATATATATATATATATATATATGAATGTAATTAAAACTGAATATCATAAAGCTCATACTAGCTCTCTATTCAGGGTTACTGAAATGTTTCTTTATCATGAACCTGCATTGACTAAAATATTTTTCAATTAAATAAGCAAACGTTATATTCATTGACCTAGAAATCTTTTATTACTATGATTAAGAAGATCAATCAGTGACCAAACTGGTCTGTAATAAATGACTATATTTGTGCATAAGTTAATTAGTGCAACACAGCTTAAAATCATAAACAAATCAGAAACAACAGAAAAACACATTGGATGAATTGTTGCTTAACTATGAAGGTAGATATCTGATTGTGTATATAAAATGAAAATAATTTAGCACAGTACTTTGGCCATGATAAAATTATTGCTGAGATTATAAGTTACCAATAGCTATGCATGTTTGAGTCAGCCTGTCAAGCTGCCCATCTATTCTAAGGGAGACTCAGCATTGGTGCAGCTTATTTGCAGGTAGAGACTACTGTAAGATTCCCTCCTAACAATCATATCCTTTTCTAGGAGTTTTCTAAGAGAACAGAAGGTATTGCAACTCAGGCTGAGAATCTTGTGAAGGAAGCTGAAGAGATACCACTTGGGCCCAAGAATACACAGCTGCTTCAACAGCAGGCCAAGTCCATCAAAGAGCAAGTCAAAAAACTAGAAGAGACGCTTGAAGAAGAGTATGTGCTTGACAAGTCCTAAAATTTCTTCTCTGAGCTAAAGTTTCATACAGTTTTTCCTGTATATTGTATCCAAAACATTTTTTTCAAAGCTCAAAGTGTCTGTGTATTTCAGCATGTTTTGAGGAAACAGCTCACAACTCACAAGAAAGTGTCACAAGAAGCACACAATATAGACGTTGACATTTATCACAGAGCAGAAAAATATAGGGATGTGGTTTTTGCATCTTAAACTGATTGTGTTCATGAGAAAGCCATATCTATTAAATTCTGTGGCCTTTATGCCTTGGGGAGGAAATCTCAAAACAAACAAACAAACATTATTTTAAATATTTTTTTGTATTGCTTTGTTATCTCTAGTTAGGGGAAAGAGGAAATTCTTTATTTATATAGATTCTGAGCTTGAATACACATGACACCATCCAAGTCTCACCCACTCCACAAAGCTCCCAGACAGAGCTTGTTATAATGCCTCAGTATTCAAATCGTCACTGATTGGCATACTATTTCCAAAAATTAACTTCACAATCTATTTTATTTTCAAATATTTAATATTTATTTATCTGAAAAGAAACCAACAGTTTGGTCTATGTTATCCTATCATATACAAAATGCCTACTAAACAAATTTAGAGAGGAAAATCAAGAGGACATAGCCAATATTCCTCAAAATAATAAGGCTGAATATTTTTACTTTGAGGTTGTGTAGTGATAAATCACTAATGCGTACTCTTAAAGATATAAGACAAAAATGTCTAGGATGGATTTTAAAATTTGTTTTGATACTATTGATACCTTGAAATTAACACCATGTATTTGCCTGATGGACATTTGTTAAATAATTTATTGAAAGCAAATCCCGAATTGAAAATTTAGAGAACATATTACATATTAGCCTTCAAATTATGGAGAGACTAAAACTTTGATTTTTATTGAAAGGAACATACTTTTATTAGAACTACCATTTGAATTTTTATTCTATTCGAAGCTTGTAATACTACGTAGTTTGCATCGCCTGTATGGATGACAGGATTAGGCATTCCCAAGGGATTCATTTGAGACTATAATATTATGAACTTTGACAATCAGTGATGCCATTGTATTTTTCATGGTGTCATCAAGTGCCTTTTGGTGAACAGGGACATTCCTTTGCTTTTTTCTTATATTTTTAGCCCGAGGACTTAATTATTTGATGATACACTGTTTTATTTCTCAGCCTTTTTCTAAACAGAAAGCCATAATCAAATGGTTACCTACATAGAACAACTGGAAGTCCATGTTGAGATCTGTTTGCTACAGTAGTTACAAGTACAGTCCAAGTTATCTAAAGACAATTGGGGGACTTATATGAGAAAAAAGTATGAAAAGTTTTATGAACTTGAGACTCTATCGAACTCTATGGAGAACAGAAATCATTCTAGATTACAAACTACAGGCAGCTCTAGTGAAAGAAGCAGTTTCTACATGACAGCATGGGATTCAGATCTCAAGTTCTAGCTTGACTCATAAAGATGCACATTATAAAGATTGCTGAGTATAAGCCATCTCCACAGTATCTCTCTGCTAAAAGCAATAGGCATTGCTAAAAGCAGTGTGGCCTGGAGTCTTCTGGGGCCGTTGACTAATTAATCCTGGCAAGTACTAGTCACATGCAGAGTTTGACTAGATCATATCTCGGTGCAGGCCCCTTGGGACCCAGAGATATTTTGTTTGCAACAGAGTTCCATTCATAACATAGTTCGAGGTTACCTCGTTAAGTGTTCATTCTCAGAGGAGCTAGGAGGATTTAAGGTCTGATCCATTTCTCAGATCCAATGTGCATTTCTGGTCTTGATTAAATAGTTTAAACTTCAATGTGGCCACAGATATCTTCACTATCTTTTCACTTGCTGATTTAAAGGAAACTGTATTGTTGTTCTCTATTAAGATTTGCATTTTATTTACTTAATTTGGTTAATTTTAGTATTAAAACCATGGAAATGGTGAAAAACAAGTGGGATCATTTTGGCAATAATTTTGAGACCTTGTCCACCTGGATAACTGAGAAAGAGCAAGAACTCAATGCCTTGGAAACTTCGTCATCTGCCATGGAAATGCAAGTCAACCAAATTAAGGTGACCTGCTCACACATTACATTTATAATCCATGTCTAGCTGTTAAGAACACCCTTCTTATCTTTCATCAACTACTCTTTGGCTCCAGGACAAATCTTTCCTCCTCTGTGACTATTAAAACTAATTTCACACAAAATGCTGAGCTAAGAGGTCTTGGTTGACACTGGGCAGTGCACTTTAGATGGAGTCGTGTGTTAATATTGTCTGACTTATGCATTCAAAGCCAATATCGTGTGAAATTTCATTAAAATGGTTTTATGCTTACGTTATTCCTTTCCTTCATTTGCATGAACCCCACGGACATGCTCTATTGATTCAACATTATAGTACATGAGATGTACTCATCACCTACCACTGGACTTTATAAGACGCCCCAAATGTCTAGCTCAAGGGCTTATGGTATTTACCCTCACTCACCACAAGGAGGAGTTGGAGAAATTGCTTTCTCTAGGGGAAACAATGCTTTCATTTATGCTGACCTTGGGGGCTTAGTGGAGATGTTCCCGGCTCTAAAACAACCTTATACATCAACTCTCATCATCCATGCTTTCAAACAGCTTTTAAAAATGGAAGGAAGTGAGTTCTGAGTGTTCTTTCTTCATTCTCTTATAAAATTTGATACGACACATTTTCAAAACTCAGCCGGTTTTTCTATCTCAGCTAATTGTTGCTGGAAGGGAAAGCCCTCTGCCTTTTCATTTGATTAAATATAGTAAAATAAATAACAAGGTGAGAGAACATTTCACATTATGACTCAGAGCTAGTGCCGTGTGCATAGTGGGAATTGTGTTGCCTCGCTGAGCTTGCGTGCTGTGCAGCTGATCTGTGCCTAGCACGCGTCTTTTGCAATCTAAGAGACAGTCTGGTCAGTGCTGTCTGCTTATGTCTGCTGTGAAATCTAGGAAAAATCAATACCACACCACTAAAAAATATTCGTAAAATTTTTCATCTTTAGAACTTTACAAAAATCATTTAATCATTTTCACTAAATTCTAAGCAAAGAATAGCACATTTCAATAAATTTGCCTCATTTTTTTCCTAAAATTTTGGGCACATTTTCAACTTGTTTATGATCTCTATAATACATTTGCTATTATTTAAATCTTTTACTTTCCAGGACTTCTGAAAAGCATCTATGAACAAGTGTTAACTTATAATTACTCTTCAGGAAACAAAATAATTACATATTAGTACTTCTTAATATATATAAGCATTTCAGGTGGATTTATAGGCCATCAGACTAAAAATATATTTTAATATGTCCAACATGATATCTTAAATATTAGATATTGAAAACTACCTGAAAATATGGTAGATGAATGTGAGTAGCAGAGATTTGTATTTGTTAGATGTAAACAAAGATACAGTAGAACACATTCTACTGTGGGATTTGGCCTAAAGGACTCATGTTCGATTTCCAAACAGATTGTGTTATAGGAAATATTAAAACTGCACTGACGTTGGTCATCATGTGTTCAAGCACCTAAAATAATATTGACACATCAAAGGCACTCAAACGTGTATCTTTGTTGAATTTATTAATAATTTCACTTTTAAAAATAATCATAAAAAAACAGTAAAATGAAGAAAGATTGTCTTAATGCTCATACTAAAAAATACCTATCCACTGTACTACTAAAGTCAGTCCTATGAAATAAAAAGATAAAAGAATGTGTCCCGGGCATTGATGATGTAAATCACTCCACACTGTCTCCTCCAGAGTAAGACTCCTAGTGCCATCTCCATGCAGCCCCCCATTTCGCTTTGCCCAGGGTAATAGTACTTACCACAAATTACTCACATCGAAGCTTGTCTGAATCTCTGACCGAGTTGATAATGAGTTGTCCCTCTTGGCTCAGAGTGTCGTTTTCATTTTCTTCCACACAAATAAGCCCCTGTGTTTAGGAGAGACACCCCTCCACACACAGACACACGCAGCCTACTGGCTTTCAGATCTGTCAAGTTTCAGCGAACATATACAAGGACCTCCTGCCCCAAATGAAAATCGTTCCACGTGGCTTTGCCCGCAGAGCCTCAGCTAAGAAGGAAGTCCTGTTTTAGAGCCGAACCAAGTCAGCGGCAGCATCTCCTGTGGGGCACTGGAAAGGCAAAGTCTCCCCCAACCCCTTAGACCTAGGGAGTCTCTCTCTGAAGACAGGAACCAGGTGACCCTCCTACAATCCATGTTTGGAAACTACTGGTATCACCAGTAGATGGTTCATTGGAAAAGACTGGCTTTAGTTAGGAGTGGATCAGAAAACCACTCCACTTGGTGAAATATGATCCTTAACCACAGTTTAAGAGCATTAAATGAATGTCAACATTAGCGTTTCTATTAGCTACTGGAACACACTGCTTCCTTGGATCAGTTGGTGAGACTCTTCATTCGTAGCATGAGCAGGGGGTTGGTTCTCTGTCCCCCGGAGTGGCTCCTCTTTCTGCTTTATTTAGTGGGCACGACCATCGTCAGCTTGTAGAGTTCAGCTGTGATCTGCACATCTGTCCCCCACCCCCCAGGAGCTCAGCAAACACCTATGGGTCCATAGCTGCTCTCTAACGGTCTGTCTAGGTTGCACGGCAGTTAAGTAAAATTCTCCTAATTTTCTCTCTCTGCAGATATTTATATCGTTTCAGGAAGGCCAGCTTGCTTAGCCGGTGTTTTCATTTTTCTTATTTTAAATATTAGGTGATAATTCAGGAAATAGAAAGTAAGATCAGCAGCATCACAGGGCTGGAAGAAGAAGCCCAGTCTTTCGCCCAGTTTATTACCACTGGAGAATCTGCTCGAATCAAAGCCAAGTTGACGCAGATAAGGAGGTACTGGGAGGAGCTCAGAGAGCATGCGCAGTGTCTGCAAGGCACTGTCCTGGGACGCCTGTCCCAGCAACAAACGTTTGAAGACAATCTCAACAAGGTAAGAAGAGATCCATGTGTGCTAGAGTTACCTCCTTCCCATTGCATTATAGTAAGATGCAATGACGCGTCCAGAAATAAATAAGAAGATGCAATGGGCCAATCGTTGACCAAGATGTCCAAGATGACTAAGCTGATTAATGTGTCGATGGTACCATTTTTGAAGGAATATAAAAATGTCATTAGACCTGGTGTCTAGATAAACTTTAAGACTCAGTTGTATTCCATTCAAGGAAAGGGCCGTGCTGCTTTTAGATTTTTAAATATATACTTCTATTTTCTCATCACATTAGAAGTTATCCAAAAAGTGCATTCTACTTTCCCAATTATCTCTGGTGCCTTGATGTATTTTTCCCCAGTGTCATTTTGCATTTCACCAACATTTTAGATCCAGCAGTCTGTGTGTGAATTTGAAGATAAACTTGCTGATCCAATTAAAATATGTTCTTCAGCTACAGAAACCTACAAGGTTCTCCAAGAACATATGGTAAGAGTCTGCTTCAACATTTACTGCTTATTTATCAATTCAGAAATTTGATAACTCCTGCTGGAAAAGAGAACATAGTAAACAATTTTATGGGAAAAGAGATTCTGATGCTACTTGAAGAATTATAAAGAGCAAGCATATTCACTTAAAAGCCTTCAAGATATATTGATAATTATGCAAAAAAGGTCACCATCAAAGACAATATCACAGAATATTACTTTAAAACGGTGATCATTCCTCTTTCCATGAGGAATATTTTCAAATTATAATTTCAAAAATCCCTGTTATTTGTTGCCACCATTATAAAAATTAAATGTGAAGATAAAAACATGTGCACAGGATTTCGGATTTTAATCCACTCTATGCAGACACATTTGTGCACAGTTCTCAGTGGACATTTTTCAATGACCAGCTTTGGAAGTTTGGTCCCTGAAATGTAGGTCACCATGAGATGTTTCCCAGAGTAACCAACAGGTGCTTTTGATGAAGTGTAGGGAAAGGAGTGAAGGTGAAGAGAATCCTGCACAAAGAAATAGGAAAAAGAAATATTTTAATTAATGAGAGTCTACATCATCTCAGTGGCTCATGCATGTGTTCATGTCTGTCCGTGTAGAAGAAGGGGCCACAGAGCTAGGAAGCACTCTTGACAGAGGCATATCTGGAAAGTGGAATTTAGCCTGTGTGAATATTAATGACTAGAATGCATTTTGGGTTACTTTGGTAATTTTTAAAAATAGTCCCACAAATGAAAGAAAGCAGTAAAGTTGAAGTTGATGAAATTCTTAGTGGGTAACTAAGTGAATAATGGAATACCAGAGAACATAATTAATTTTGCTCTAAATTTGGATTTCCCAAAGCAAGTTATTTTTCTCCCCTGATTTTCTAATCTGTCAAGGGGGAGTAACGATAACAAAAGCGCTCACCTCTGCTATGAACTGAATGCATTGATCGGTGTGGTGAACCTAACGACATGTCTTCTGCAGCTCGGCTACCCTCTACCTGTAATGCTTATTGACTCCTATGCCTTTACTGGAGATCCTCTTATGTTTCCTGCAGTTCCTACAAATCAGGAGTAGGATTTTTCAAAATACATGTGGGACATAAAATGAATTTTTATAAATAATCGGATTTGTTAAAGGAAAGTAGAAATTATTCAGATACACAACAGATTTTTATTTTGAGGACAGTCTCTCCATTCTCATTTTTTATTTCTGTGTTCGTGAAGAACCTTTCGTCTTATGAGGTCTTGTGGCAAATCATAAGTAGAGATGGTCTTAGTACTCCTGCTGTGGAAACATTGGTAATAATGAATCTCAAGGAAAGGCCTCTTTGTTTTCTTAATTTATTTATACATTTAAGAACTGAGTTGCAGGCCAGAAATGGGGGGATGAGAGGATTCACCAGAGACAGAGTGGGGAGCAGAGCAGGTAGATCTACTGAAACATACTGCTCAGGGCAAGCACAGGGGAGCTAGACAGGAGAGGTCTGCTGTGCCATGTGGGTCACCTCTGTGGCCAGGGAATCAAACTTCAACAGCTAGAAATAGCTTGATAGCACTGAGACTTTAGCTCCTGCACCAGCAGAGAAGCCCCACGGGTCTTATGTTTAATGTGTGCGTTTGCTGTGCTGGATTTGCCTCCTAGGATCTCTGTCAGGCTCTCGAGTCGCTGGCCAGCACAGTGGCTTCTTTCTCAGCCAGCGCCCGGAAGGTGGCCAGCAGAGAACTTTCGGTGCAGGAGGCCGCCGCTCTGCAGCAGAGATACGAGGGGCTGCTGGTTCAAGCCAAGCAGCGACAGATGGTGCTGGAGCAGCTGCTGACCCACTGGCAGAGGTGAGCGGACTTCCTTCTGGGCCACAGCTGGGGTCTCTTAGCCCCACGGCACGAGCTGTCCTTTAACTGATGGGAAATAGTCAATCCAGACTAAAATGGGCCAGCCCGCTTGTCTGACATTGGGAAGGTCTTGATCCTCATTATTTCATGAAGAGGCTGGAGAGTGGAGATGTGTGTGGGTCTTTCTGTATCACACAGGTATAAGCACACGTGCAAACACATACCTGGAATTGGAAAGGATGCTGTTTTTGTACCTTCTCATCAAGGAATAGGACAAGCAACGCTTTGTTATTTATAATGACTAGTGTTAGCCCTTCCAACTTCAGAAAGGTTTAGTTTCCTAGCATGATCATTGTGCATACGTTTGTTCTTATTTTTGCTTTCATTAGACTCGAAAAAGAACTGTCGACTTTCTTGACCTGGCTAGAGCGGTGTGAAGCTATAGCCAGTTCCCCAGAAATGGACATTTCTGCAGACAGAGTCAAAGTGGAGAGTGAACTTCAGTTAACACAGGCAAGTTCAAGGAAGTTCAAGGAAAAATGGCATGCTTTTAGCTGGTTGCATTGGAAAAACAAGAACAAAACCCTCTACCCAATTAACTTCTTGCTTTGGTTTTATGATCCCCAAACGAAGAGCGGCTCTGATCTAAAAGTCACAGTAATGGGGAACTTCGGACTGACATACTGCCGGCATGTATTAGAAAATCCTGTGTTATAGTATCTAACATTTGAATACTTGTGATATTTCAGAGGAATTAAAGGAGGATATTTAGAAATATCAATGAAACAAGGATGGCCGTTAGTCAATACTTTTTGAAAATAGGAAATAGATATGTTCTTTCTTCTTTGGAATTTTTCTGACTTTTTGATAACACAAAGTTTTTTTTAATCTCATAGTGTGCTGTTGTCAGTATCTCTCTTCAGTTCTATTACTGCTTTCTGTGCATTTGATGTGCCGTCATTAGGTACATATATATTTAATAATGTTATGTCTTTTTGTTGTATTATGCCCTACATTATACTTTAATGTCCACCTCCATCCATTATTTGTTTTCATTGGGACTCTATTTTATCTGAGATAAGTGTAGCTGCTTCTGACTTTTTCTGATTATCATTTGCTTGTAGGGTTGTCCTTCAGCCTCTCAAGCTATGTCTGTACTTGCTTGTGATGGTAGGATGAATTGTTTGTAAACAGCATAAGGTTGGACATTGTTTTGAAATCTATTTAGTCACTCTGTACCTTTTAATTGATGAATCCAAGTCATTTCAGTGTAAAGTAATTTTTCTGACAAAGTGCTCACTGCCATTTTGGTATTTGTGTGTGTGTTTTAAAATTTATTTATGCATACAGAACTGGGGTACAGGCCAAGGTTGAACGGGGTGAGAGGATTCCCCAGAGACAGAGTGGGGAGCAGAACAGGAAGATGGACTGAAATGCACTGCTGAGGGGAGCAGCAAGGAGACAGGAGAGGTCTGCTGTGCCATGTGGGCCACCTCCCTGGCCAGGGATGGAACTCTTGCTGCAGTGGCTGCCAATAGCTTCATAGTGCTGTACTTTAACCCCTTGACCCACCAGGGAGGCCCTAATTTTTGTTTTTCAGTGAAACTCTTTACCCTTCATGCTGTCTTGAGTGATACTGCAGCAGGATAGAATCCTCTAGTTTAGAAATATTTTTCTTTGAGCACTTTAAATATCTTTTCCTGCCTATAGTTTCCACTGAAACATTAGCAGACAGCCTGGTAGGAGTTTCCTTATGGGATGCCCTTCTCTCTGTACTTTTTAATATTCCTCTTTCCTGTTCGCTTTCAGCAACTTAATTATAACGTGTCTTGGCACATGTTGTTCTGGTATTATTTTCTTTGAAACTCTGGATTAGGATGTCTGGTTTGTTTCCTGGATTGAAGTAGTGCCAGCAATTATTTCTTTAAATAAATTTTCTGTCTCTCTCCTCCTCATCACCTTCTACCACCTCCACAATATGGGTATTATTTCTCTTTAAGTTATCCCAAAGTGCTTTTACATGTTTACAGTTTGTGCTTATTATTTTTCCTCTGTGTTGTTTGCTCTGTGAGACCTCTGTCACTCTGCATTCCACTTCCTGACTCCCCCGTTATGTGGCTGTGTCTGCTCTTGAGTCACTGCATTCTGCATTTTAATTATAGAATAGCATTTTCTAGATCTGTTCACTCTATTTGTAGCAGTCTCATATTTTCTCAGTCTTTACTCTGTTCCTGTTGTTATCATTGTTTTCATATTTACCCAACACAGTTATAACTGTTCCCTTAGACCTCAGCACGGATTCTCTAGTTCTCCTGGGGGAAGATTTCTCTGTTGGGCTTTTGCCCCAACGTTATGATATATTCTTCTGTCACTTTTATGGGTTGTAGTTGGGAACTTTATTTTCTTGTCTTGCTAGATTGACTTTATACCCACCTAAAAGAAGCTGGATATAAGCCTAGGTATTTTTGTTGATGTTATTGTTTTGCTTTATTTTTTTTTTTTAAAGATTTATTTATTTGTTCATACAGAACTGGGGTACAGGTCAGAGGCTCAGGGCGGCGAGAGGCTTCACCGGAGACAGAATGGGGAGCAGAACAGACAGATCTACGAAGTACACTGCTGAGGGGAGCAGCGGGCGGGTCAGGAGAGGTCTGCCGCGCCATGTGGTCACCTCCGGGGCAGGCGGGAATCGAACTCATGTGGAAGTGGCTTTAGCTTCTCAGTACAGTGCTTTAACCTGCTGCGCCACCAGGGAGGGCCTGTTTTGCTTTATTTTTAATCCATGAATTGTAGGTCTTCTCTTTATAGACCGATGCTGTGGCACCTGTTTGGATGACGGGGCTCTGGCACCAGTCAGGAGTGATAGGTTGGAGCTGTCGGGCACCAAAATTTCACCAATAGAGAATACGAAGTGTTCATGCTTCCCACAGTGCTCTGGATACCTGTGCTATGTGGGGGACCCATGGTGACCCTCTAATAGGCCAACCCCAACCAAAACATCTTGAATCTCAACCTCTGAGCTATGATAGAACTATAGATGGAGTGAAGCTATTAGGACTATAGTTGAGGTAGAGTCCTCAGCTGGGAATCTTGCCGTGAATCTATAGAGTCTGCCTGTTTCTACTGTAGTATCCAAGTGCTTAAAAACTTGGTTGGTGAGAGCAGTCAGTTTTGGCCTTGGCTGAGACTAGGGAAATATCGCACAGATCACAGTCATAGGCTGCCTTAATATTAATAGCCTCTTCTGTGAGGACTCACAGGCCATCTGGTCTGACCTCCTGATAGTTCAGACTCCAATTTTTCTCATTTGGGAGACCCAGGTCTGAGCCGAGGTTGGTTCTTCATTCCTCCTCCTGTAGCTCACCAGTGTCTACCGTCTGTTCTGCATGGTGACTCTGTATACCCCTGTTTTGAGATCTAGCTGTGTTTACCTTTTACCTCTCATTAGGTGAGAAGCACAACTTTTACCCATCACCCACAGCACCTCAAAGTCATTGCCTGATTAAAATAAGGAGTTCTGTTGCATAAAAATAAAATAAAGGGCTCCATACATCACAGTTTGGCCTGACATCTCCTTATGTCGTGGGGAAGCTCCTGCACCCCCTGGTCCGATTGTGTCTGTTGTTAGGTGTGTCCTGCTTCACAGAGTCTTTCTTTGATTTTCTGCTGACTCAGTTTCTTCACCCTAAAAGAAATTCTCTCTCTTCTAATTTTGCCTAGCTTTATAGAACTCAGACTCAAAAACTAATTCAGTTTTCAGTATCCTTTTTCAAGATGAATTGGAAGTAATGGACCCATTTCTATACCAAGAAACCTTAGTCTGGTCCCAGCGACCTCCATTGTACACGAGATTGTAAATCCTGGGGACAGCAGCTCTGGGCTCTGGCGGCAGTGTGGTGTCCTGGAACACCGCATGGTGGGAAGTCTGTAATATGTTCTGTTTTGTTCAGGTGCTGCAAAATGAAGTTGTATCCCAGGCTTCACTGTATAGCAGCCTTTTGCATTTGAAGGAATCACTATTTTCAGTCGCCTCCAAAGATGATGTGAAAATGATGAAGCAGCATTTGGAGCAGTTAGACGAGAGATGGAGAGATTTGCCACAGTTAATTAGCAAAAGGTTGGTTTCTTTCAAAAAGCTTTTAACAATGTTCATTTTTAAAATGCGAAGCCTATAAATTAAGAAATAATAGTTTTGGTTGCTTTTCTTTAAGCCAGCTCCACGGGGGGATAATACTAAAAAGGAAGAACACTACTTTGTCACCTTAAAAGTCAAGCGCTCAAAATTAGCATTTCTGATGAACTTCAATTAAAAATTTCAGTCTCATAATCAGGATAAATGATCCAATTAGTTGACTTAGATTGAAGATAGCAGAATTGCTCATCTTTGTGCTAACTATTGCCCAAGCTATTTTGTACAGGAGAAAAATGACAATTAGAAATTTCCCTCACATCTCTCTCTCTCACACACACGCACACCTCACATGACCTATATGAACATATGATCCATTTCACCCTAATTTACACCTTAGTAGAAAACAATGGAAACTACTATCAAATGGAAACAAAATTGAATCATATAGTAATTAACTAGATGATTGCCAATTGCCTTTTAACGCCTTTTTCATATTTCAGAAAACCCTTAAATTGGTATTGATTACTCATGTGATCTTGAATAAGGTATTTAACCTTTCTGGTCACTTTTTAAAAATTCATTCATTCTTTCAGCAATTATTTATGAGCTTTGACAAGAATAGAGCCTTCTGTGTTCCTGGGATATGGAGTTCCTGACTGTACATTTATGGACTTGATATTTGTTCCATTGCTTATTCATTCAATTATTTATTTATTTATTTTTCATCTCAATCGTAATCCCCGTGGGTTTCCCATCACCGAGTCACCCGTGTTCATTCAATTATTTAACATCAGCAAATGTTTATTGGGTGTCCTCTGAGTACCAGACACCATATCAAACACGGAGGCTTGAGAATAAATAAAACTTGCCGTCAAGTATCTCACAGATCAGCACAGATTTAATAACGTGGATACCAAATGTGTGAGATCAGAATTTTAGAATTTTATGAAAGCAAAAAGAGGGCTATTTAAGTGAGTTCAGGGAAGGTTTACAGAAAGATGTGATGCTCACTCCTTAAGATGAGCAATTGTCTATCAAACCAAATAGAATCTGCCTGCCACTTGGCTCATAGGGACCAAAGAAAGGGCTTTTAATGACACAGTATGTGAAGACATTCAAAATTTAATTTATGCATGAAAAGATGAGGCATCCTAGGTTTTGTCAGGATTAAAACATGAAGGTCCATGTAAGAGGCTGAAATTAGGAAATGAACCGTTGTAATGAAAATTCGTATTTTATTAACGCGTTTTTCTTAATGGCAGTTTAGAGTCTGTCTTCAGGTCGCCAATCATGAATTATTCTAATCGGTTTATGGCACAAGCAGTGACACCCCCTTCTTGCTCTGGCTTAAAAGGGCAGGGACGCCTTCCCTGTCCTGCTGGGACGTCTAACTTTAGCACCTTTCTCTACATAGGATTCATTTTCTTCAGTCTGTGGTGGCCGAACACCAGCAATTTGATGAGCTGCTGCTCTCCTTTTCTGTCTGGATTAAGCTGTTTCTTGGTGAACTGCAGACGACGTCTGAGGTGAACGTGGCGGACCCTCATGCTGCTCTTGCTCGGCACAAGGTGAAGTGTGGTATTAAGATTGAAGCGGGATTTATTCATAAAAGAACTCTTGATTCCAAAGGGTTGCAGCATTAAAAAATAAAAAGCAGCAGTTTAATTTGATATTTGTATGTAAATGTTTTGATAACGGAGCATATGGGTCCATGCAATGTGTTATGCAGATGAATTGAGCAAAGTAAGCAGTCACTGTAAGACACTGTTTCTTCAAAGAGGAGCAACTGATTTTTCAGGTGAAGTAATGAGAACTTTCCATTTTAAGATTTCCAATTTAATTTGTTTCAATGTTGAAAACTAATATTGAAGTTCAATGCTATAACGATAGTAGTTTTTTGATTTATCATTTAACTTTGAAAGTTATTTTCAAAGCATAATTTGTTTTCCTTTTTTTAAAAAAAAAAGATTTATTTACTAATGCATACAGAATTGGGTACAGGTCAGAGGTGCAGGGGTAGTGAGAGGATTCACCAGCAACAAAGTGGGGAGCAGAACAGGCAGATCAGTGAAATACAGTGCTGAGGGGAGCAGTGGGCAGGTCAGAAGCGGACTGCCGTGCCATGTGGGTCACCTCCAGGGCGGGGATTGAACCATGCTGAAGTAGTTTAGCTTCTTAGTGCTGCGCTTTAACCCACAAAGCCACCAGGGAGGGCCTGTTTTCCTTTTTTATAAATAAGACCCAGTATCTATCCTATCAAAAAATATATATATATATTTTACTCAGAAATGGATCAAGTATTGGGCTAGTTGCAGATATGAGGAGAGGTTCTTTTCAGGTTATTGAATTATCCAATTAAAAATCATACAGAGTTGTAGGAGGGAAAAAAACAAATCCACATACATGTGGAGAACCCCATGGATGTGGATTTCAAAGTCAACAGAGAGCAGTGAGGGTGTTGGTCCTGACCTAAGGAATGACCCAGGGTTCTTGGGCTTGAAAAAGTGAGATGGGGCCCTCCCTGGTGGTGCAGCGGGTTAAAGCACAGCACTGAGAATCTAAAGCTGCTTCCGCATGAGTTCGATTCCCGCCTGCCCCGGAGGTGACCACATGGCGTGGCAGACCTCTCCTGACCCGCCCGCTGCTCCTCTCAGCAGTGTACTTTGTCGATCTGTCTGTTCTGTTCCCCACTCTGTCTCTGGTGAAGCCTCTCACTGCCCCTGAGCCTCTGGCCTGTACCCCAGTTCTGAATGCACAAATAAATAAATCTTAAAAAAAAAAGTGAGATGGGGGGTGGCATTTCAAGGGAGCTGACTCATCTGATGAAGTCCAGATGCTCTGTAGTTAACTGTTTCCCTCCCATGTAAAAAGGTTTCCCCAAAAGAAAGTTTTTCTGGTTAAAAACTCCAATTCTGGGGCCCTCTCTGGTGGCGCAGTGGGTTAAAGCACTGCACTATGAAGCTTAAGCCACTTCTGCATGAGTTCGATCCCCGCCTGCCCCGGAGGTGTCCACATGGCGTGGCAGACCTCTCCTGACCCGCCCACTGCTCCCCTCAGCAGTATACTTCATCGATCTGCCTGTTCTGCTCCCCACTCTGTCTCTGGTGAATCCTCTCGCCCTCCGCATCTCTGGCCTTTACCCCAGTTCTATATGAATAAATAAATAAATCTTTAAAAAAAAAATCCAATTCTGGGTAATGGCTCCAAAATTCATTCTTCTATCAATATTTTTGTTTGTTTGTTTTGTGTAGAAGAGCTGGGGAGTTAGACCAAAGTCAGGGTGGTGAGAGACCTACACACAGAGTGGGGAGCAGATCAGGTGACTTGAGTGAAATATACTCCTGAGGGGAGCAGTGGGAGAAACAGGAGAGGTTTGCTGTGCCATGTGGGTCAGCTCCCTGGCTAGGGATTGAGACTTTACCCCTCACACCACCTGGGAGGCCCCTGTCAATAGTGTTTTATTATTATTGTTTTTTATGATAGTTCTTATTAGTTGTATTTCTCCTCCGGGGAAGGGGATCAAACTCACATCGAAGCGGCTGCAGCAGGCTTGCAGTGCAGCATTTTTACCTGCTCCACCACCAGGCAGGGCCTTCAAGAGTGTTTTAACAGAGCGGTAGAAGTTTCTCGTAAGCCTTCAGGGCTTCGATTGGCTCCAGTTCAGAATAATCTACATGCCAGAGACATATTTTGGGAAGGCATGTTCTGGACATCTTGGGAGTCCTGACCTTCAGTGATAAGCTGCCTAAGGGGCCAAAAACAACATTAAGTTATAAAGCATTACATTTTTATTGGGAGCTCACCAGATGCTAGACTCACTGTTTGGATTTAGCTAAAGGGAAATGACTTAGTTAGGTTCCATGACCTGAAACAGTTTTGACAGTTGAGCTAGGTACTTGCTGTCAAATTGGCCAGGATTGGTATCCCAAAGGGCAGAGAAAAAACTTGTGAATATTCTAACACATTAAATAAAAGGCCCGTCAAGTTTGTTAGTCAGGTCTAGGGGGAGAGGTAGGCCATGGCCATCAAGACTGAGATCTGTAGTACTTTCCCCTTACTAAGGCCCCTGCTGAGATGGTTGGACTCTAAGTTCCCTTCACCACAGTCTCACCTGGGTAACCTACCAGGCAACTAAATCTTGCGTAGGATTCCATCTTCCTTCCCTCTGAAGAGAGACTAATTCCATCTATTCCCACGCTGTTTCCCTACCAGCTCTCTAAGACTCAGCCCATTTACGTGTGTATATGCACATGGACACTCACCTAGGCACACTCACAGTAGGTCATATATGTTACAGTTCCATATATATGTTACAGCTTTCATGTGCATATATAGTTGCTAAGTTAGAGGAAGTGGAAAATTTGGATGATCTCAAAAGATATATATCTCCATTTCTGTATATATAGCTACATAAAATTCCCTTGAAGTATTTCTGTTCACAGAGAAATTCCTTCCCATGCAAAGACTGAGTTCCAAATCAGAACTGGATTTTCTGTGTAATAACAGATGTACAAACCAGGAAGTTTTTAGAAGGTTAAATGCTATGCCTTTCATTTAATGTACAACACCCTGAACAGCCCCAATCTTGCATGTAGCTGTGTCATACACACCAGTGTGTCTGAAGGATCAGCTCCTCATTCTTCCCTTCCAGGACCATGCAGCAGAGGTGGAGGGCAAGAAGGGAGACCTGCAGAGGCTGCAGGGTCACCTGGCGAAGCTGTGCGCTCTGGGCCAGGCAGAGGATCTGCACCTGCTGCAGGGCAAGGCGGAAGACTGCTTTCAGCTGTTCGAGGAGGCCGGGCAGGTGGTGCAGCGGCGGCAGCTGGCTCTGTCCCAGCTGGCTGAGTTTCTGCAGAGCCACGCTTCTCTGTCAGAGGTGCTACACCGCCTGAAGCAAATGGTGGAAGCAACCAACAGCATGGACAAGAAGCAGTCTGCCATGTTAGCAAAGGAACTAGACGATGCTCTTCCAGAAGTTAAAAGGCTGGAGACTGTGGCCATCAGTCTCGACGGCATTCTCTCCAAGGCTCAATACCATCTTAAAGGTGGGAGTCCGGAGAAAAGGACTTCCTGCAGAAATACAGCTGATCACCTCTGTTCGGAATTAGAGAAGATCCAGAACCTTCTGGGGACCAAGCAAAGTGAGGCAGATGCCCTGGCTATGTTGAAAAAAGCCTTTCAGGAGCAGAGAGAGGAGCTGCTGAAGGGCATTGAGGACATTGAAGAAAGGGCTGACGCAGAGCGACTGAAGGAGCCCACACGCCAGGCTCTTCAGCAGAGGTAACCGGCCACCACGCCGAAGCTGGGTGCCTTGTTCAGTTAGTTTTTGCTCTGAAATTAACAGTTGTGCAGAACTTTCAAATTACTGTGTTTAGTAACAACATATTTTGAGGATAAAATTCATGACTAACAGAGCATTTAAGAAATAAATTTCTCTGGTTTCCTTCAGGGGTTTCTTAGAGATAAACCACTCTGTGATCTTATAGTAGAGGTTATATTATCTGCTTTTAAGTGATAGGAGACAGAAAAGACAGGATGAGTGGGGAGTGACTCATTATTGTATAGTTCTGGAGGTAAAGTATGAGGGCACTCCTTTTGAGTTCTGTTAGCCCTGCAGAAAAGACGAGCAAGCTCATAAGTTGAGTGCAAGCGGCAGGATGTTGTGGAGATAATATAGTCAGAAAGAGATCTTCCAGGGACAGGAAATGAACATTCTGGAACTTGGCAGGGTAATACGCTGCTCTCTGAGATTTGTATTGATTCATTTAAGGTGAAACCAGATCATACCGGCAAGAAGTTTCTCCCCAATGACTTTTAATCAGAGGTGTGGAGAAGGCAGAGAGGGGGCTGGAGGCAAAACACAGTCTATGGAAAATGGGACTTTGAATTAAAGGATTTATGAAACCCCAGCCATATTTCACTTCTCTGTGTGATCGTGGGCCAATCACCTCTCTTCTTGTAAGGAGGGAATAATGGTAATCTCCACCTATAGCCACCTCTCTTCTTGTAAGGAGGGAATAATGGTAATCTCCACCTATAGCCACTTTGGGGGAATTAAATGGAATAATTCTTGTGCACTCATTTTATAAACTCACAGTTTACTATATCAAAATGTGAGAATGAGAAAAAATCAACTGCAGCCTCTCTGTGGCCTCTTTTTATCATGCTCAAATATCAATGCTTTAAGGAAAAAAAAGAATCATTTCCACATGGTTATTATTTCAATAAATTAGGTAATCAAAAAATCGATTTTTAAAAAAATATGATTTCAGAGTTCAGTAAAGCAAATTTTATTTTGAATGAAACACTGTGTTCTTAAATATTATGTTACATGGATTGGTCCTCATGGCACAAAGAGATTCTTAAAATGACCTCAGCAAGCATGCACCTTCTTTGTTTGGGTCAGCTTAAGTCTTAAAAGTATTATTATCCAAGCAAAATATAAATGAGTATAGACTTCACAGAAAATTGAAGGTGAATAGTGAGAATGACTAAATGTTTTCTGAGGTACAGTCTGAGTTTTGCAGTTAGCTTTAAAAGCGTCTTTATCAATTGACATACATCTTTAATTTCCTGTGTCAAAAATGTGTGTGTATATATACATACATAAATGTTTTATGCAGGGAACTATTGGTACCTAATATTTAGCAAAAAACTTTTTCATTTGTAGGTTGAGAGTTTTTAACCAGTTAGAAGACGAATTGAATTCTCATGAGCATGAACTATGTTGGTTGAAGGACAAAGCTAAGCAAATTGCCCAAAAAGATGTAGCTTTTGCACCTGAAGTTGACAGAGAGATCAACCGCTTAGAAGTCACTTGGGATGATACCAAAAAACTAATTCATGAAAAGTAAGTTTAAAAAAACCCACATTTGTTTCCCACTTTCTGCTTATTTTGTGACATTGAGCTATTGTCCACGATTTGGGCTGGTGTGGTCAAGCGCTGACCGCGAGTCACCGTCTTCGGTGTCCCGTGCCTCTTTACTGACACTGAAAATGTAGCCCTGTCGAACTTTGTTGAGGTGAGTGAAGAGTCACATGTGAACTCCAATGCTTTCAAAAAGGAGTTCTCAGTGAGCACGAAGGGCCACAGCCTTTCACCTTTGTTTTTAGTTTTGCTGTACTTGATTGTAACTGAGAATTCACATACATAAAATACACCCTATGACGTGTACACCGTTAGGCCAAATGGGTTACAGCTGTGTTACTCTCACAATGATCAACAACTTTCCTTTTGAAGTTATTTCTTAAGAGTCAATGCAGGGCTCTCTGGTGGCACAGTGGGTTAAAGCACTGCATTATGAAACTCTCTGAAGCCACTGAAGCATGAGTTCGATCCCCTGCCAGGGAGCTGAGCCACATGGCGTGGAGGACTTCTCCTGACCCGCCTGCTGCTCCTCTCAGTACTGTATTTCAGTTCATCTGCCTGTTCTGTTCCCCACTCTGTCCTCTGGTCCTCTGGTGAGTCCTCTTAACCCCCCACACCTCTGGCCTCTACCCCAGTTCTGTAAGCATAAGTAAACAAATTAAGAAAAAAGTCAGTGCAGTATAACATGATGTAACATTGAGCTGGATAAGAAAATTCAGGTTCCCTCTAACAGTTCAGTTTCATACTAACAGTTCTGCCACCTGAAATCATCCTTCGGTCCTTTAAGTCAATCTCTTTTCTCACCCCAACTCCCAGTCCCCAGTCCCTGGCACTCACTGAGCTGTCTCCAGCCTCTGTAGTTTTTGTGTTCTTCAGACTAATAGGTAAATGGATTCTTTCCAATTTGATCAATTACAGGTAGAGCAACTGTAAACACTCATGTTTAATTTTTCTGTGTATATAAGTTTTTATTTCACTTGGGTAAATAGCTAAAAGTGGGATCTTGGTTTGTATAGTAAGTGTCTGTTTTTAATTTTATAAGAAATCACCAAAGTAAATGCACCATTTTGCATTCACACCCACTCACTGTGAGAATTCCAGTTTCTTCCTATTATTCCCAGTACTTGATGCCATCAAGATTTTGTTGGCTTGTTTGAGATTATTATAGATGTGTAAAGATATCTCATCATGTTTTTAATTTACATTTCCCTGTTGACTAATTATATGGAACATATTCTGATGTTATTTTTTCTCTTTACATCTTTCTTAATAAAGTACCTGTTCAAATTGGCCAGTTTTTTAAATTGTTTGTTTTCTTAGTTTTGAGGTCTTTTTTGTATCAATATAATTTTTTTAAAGATTTATTTATTTATTCATATAGAACTGGGGTACAGGCCAGAGAC